ATATATATATATATATATACACTGGGCTGTGGGCACTCCGGCCCACACGCCCAGCCGCTGCCGCCACGTACATCACGCCCGCTCCCACGCCCGCCCTCCCTGCTGCTGCTGCTGCCACACACGTTTTAGAAAGAAGTCAAACGCAAAATAATACGACAAGGGAAAAAACATGAAAGGAAAAAAGAGAGGGTTGAATAACGCATAAAGTGTGGGGAAGGAGGAAAAGGCAAAACAAGAAACTAAAGAGAAACAAAGACGCGGGAGGGAAGGGAAGGTAGATAAAAATGCATCAAAGGAAAAAATGACTCAGTCATGTCTTTCCACCATTACGTGTACACCTAAATCGTCCACACTTCTCTCGCTACTACTCTTGCACGCACACACGCGTAGCTCCTGTGTCTTTCCCCCCTTTCTGTGTATGTGTGAGAGAGTACGTGTGTGTGTATGTGGTGTGCAGATAAGGAGAGAGAGAAGGTTATTGTTGGCATTCTCGCTGAAGCAGTAATAAATACGCATCAGTTTGCACCTATCTTATCGTCGAAGGCGCCGAGGAAGTCGCACACCTCGTCGGTGTCGGAGAGCGCCATGGCGCCCTTGACGCACAACGGCTCGTCGTTCTCCTCTGCCGCGACAGTCGGCTGGAAGTTGACGATGTCGCGGTTGAATAACGGCGATGGCAGGCTGAAGGTCTCGGTGCACACTTCCGGCGCGCGGTCTGTACTCCAGACGGCCGCCGGATGAGCGGCGCCACGCGCAGGCGCGGCATTGCAGATGTCATCGTTACCGTCATTCACGGCGAGCTGATGCAGCAGCTGCAGAAGTTGTTGTTGTTTTTGTTCCTGCTCCTGCTGCTGCTGCAGCTCCGGCTCCGGCTTGATGGGTTCATCCTTTGCTGCTGCCTGGGTGTCGTTACTCCCTGCCGGTGCCTCAGCGCCACCCGTCCCGACGTCGTTGAGCCGCTGCACGGACACGGCCTGGTGGGCCTTCTTGCCGGGCAGGATACCGATGCGAAACACGACCCGATCCCCAATGGACAACGAGCGAAATCCGTCCATCTGAATGTACGACTGATGCACGAATACATCTCCAAGGGAAACTGGGGTGCGCACCACCTGCGCCTGCGGGGTCTTTTGGGCCTCCTCGCCTGTGCCTGTCGTCTCTGGCTGCGAGCTCGTGGATGTCGCTGTTGCTGTTTGGGGTGAGACAACCCGTAGGTGGTGGGTGGCTGTGAGGAAGCCGAAGCCCCGCATGGGGTTGTACCGCTTCACCACGCCCTCGTACCACTCGCCGAGCTTGTACATGGTGCCGTTGTCGTGCATCGATTGGTGTGGTGGTGCAGCAGAGGCGCGGGGCAGCATGCCGGTGACACCGCCGCATGCTAGTGGGATCTGCTGGTTTGCCTGTGGGTTGGGCTGCAGCATCACATAGATGGGCGGCGAGCCCATCGAAGACGTGGCGGAACTCCTTGGGGACGTCATGCTGAGGCCCCAGCCGTGGTTCTGCAAAGGCCCCGGCGAGTGCTCCACGCTTGTCATGCTGCTACTCAGCCGTCGCATCTGGTCCTTCACGTTGCTGCTGCTGCTTCTGCTTGCACTGGCACCATAGGTACTGCTGTTGTTGACGGTGTTGTTGTTGTTGGTGTTGGTGACGCTAGTGATGCGCATGGCGGAGAGGCCCCCTGAGAAACTGCTGGCGCTGCTGGTTTGACTGAATGGCGGCGGGCTTGATGAGCACACATGGAACGGCGGCAGGGCTGCTGGCTTCAGTTCTTGCGATGCGTAGGCGTAGCCCATTGCGTGCTGCTGCTGCTGCAGTGGTGCAGTTTGCTGGTACGGGAAGTTGAGCGCGACGAACGGGGTGCCGTTGATGTTGTACGCCGGCGCTAACGAACCTGCTGGAAAGAACATAATAGGCGAGTGCTTTGCTGCTGGTCTTGCGGTTGGTTCTGGTATTCTTCTCGCTTGTGTGTCAATCCCTGTCGTGGTGTGCTTGTGTGTCTGTGACTGCGTAGGTTATGTTTTTTTTTTTTCTGTCCACCTGCGGTTGTCTAAAGTTCACGTGTGGTGTTAACTCTGAGATTGTTGTGCTGCAGCGCAGTCAGACGCACCCCGCCAAGAGAAACCAAGTGCGACAGATTTATATATGGAGAGAGAGAGAAAGAGAGGAAGAAAGGAGGAATAGATATGCATCTGCATCGAAGTAAATGGGCGTTTCGCAACCGCGGATGAGAGGCGCAAGTGCCAATGCATACACACAGATGTCT